ATATATATATATATATATATATATATGTAAATATATATAAATATCTTAGATACAAAATTACGAATACAAGAAAGCAGTGGTTTGCTTACCTTTGGCAGTGGATACGTGTCCGGTAACGATAGTACAGGCGGTGAGCTCGGCGTTTCCGAGTCGGCAATAGATACTGGAGTGTTGGGAGCAAGAGGATTGTTCAGGTTGGATACGGCGGTGGCGGCGGCGGCGGCGGCGGTAACGGCCGAGGATACAGTGACGGTTCCAGAGACCGTCACCTTCGTTGTCTGCCGGCTACCGCCGTTATTCGGCTGCTCCTTCGCGGCACGATGTTCCGCGAGGAGCTTGTCGAAGGTCTTGCTGCGACCGACGACCGTTCGGCGCAGCGAGACAGTGTGCGCTTTGCATGTGAGTGACCTGGTGCAGGGCTTGCCAGTCTCCTCGTTCAACACACCGCAGTGCCGATCGGGATCATACTCGCGGTCTTTGAGCAACGACCGATCTGTTTTAAGCCTCTTCCGACGAGGCTGGTTGCTGCCACTGTTACTGTTAGGACCAGGGCTTTTGCTCGGACTCCCTCCGCTGCTTGTAGATGTACTGATAATATTCGAAGAACCGGCTATGTTAGAAGAGGTAGTTTGTACCGTGATCGATTCAAGAGGCGATCGGGGTGACGAGGAGATCGGCAGAGAGCCACCTGCAGACAAGTTCGCCTGATCCGCAGTACGCTTAACGGTCGTGTGGTTCAGCTTCGCACTACCAACGATGGGAATTGAAGCAGAAACTGAAGGAACTGATGGTTGAGTGTTTCTCTTCAGCTTGGAGACCTTGCAGAAGGGAGCTTTTATGGACGGTTTTGTGACTGGGGTTGTGGGTGGTGGAAAATTTGCCATGCCGGAATGGCGACACTCTGTGGCAAAATAGAAGATGTGTTTACATGTTTAATACCTGCAATACATGTATACAAAATGCTAATGAGTTGCAAATATTTTGACAATATATCTGAATCTCATAGCTGCGAATGAAATCACTGTACATACATCTTTTATAATATACAATAAAAATATTTCTTTAAGTTAAAATTCAATAACTTTGACTTTAAATATATTAAATAAAATTTTCAAATAACATATATAAATTGATAAGCAATTGTTCACTTTTAAAACACACAAAAATTTTGCGTTTGGAATTATGTGCTATTAAGTCCTCCAAATATAATTTTAGATTATAATTAACTAAATAACAAAATCAGAAATAAACTTGCTTTATGTTTAGCCCTGCTGTTTAATAAATAATTGAAATTTCTGATTATATCATGCCTTATTGTTATTAATAAATCTGCATTTCTGTTAATATACTAACAAATTATGTTAAACATAAAGCAATTTAATTATACTTCGTTACACTATACTACAATAATCAATAAAATATGAATATATACCTATATGTTGAATGAGAGCTTGTGGTTTTACTATGGCATCGCATATTTCACATACTACTCCATAGAAATCATCCCTCTCTGGACAAAAGCCATACAAATCGATATCTGAAAAATGTTTCACATTAGTGTTATAGTAAA